TTGTCTATGTACCTAAACAGTTGTGATTGAGTAAGAAAGAACGGTGCTTTCTGTATCCTCTGATGCAAAATTTTGCATTCATAATTTCATTGTTCATTACAAAATACCGTTATATTATAAAAAAAAAACCTTTTTCTGATGATTAAGAACCAAACTAAAAAAATACAATTTTATTAGTTGTTGGCATTTAAACATAGGTATGACCTTTTTGATTCCTGTGAAATTGTTTGTGTATTTATTATTTAATAACAAGTACAAATTTTTCCTTTACACAGTAATAAAAAAAATCATTGTGTCGTAAATCAGTTTTAAGTACAGTATCTTCAAGACAGTATTAAGGTCAATATTTACTTTAATCTATTTAATGATTTTTCAATAATTATAACTATACTTAAAAAAGTACTCTTACTCTTGCTAATAAATATTTCTCAGTTTATTCCACATATGAAACACTTTAATTGCATTCCTATTCTTTCACTGTATTATTACAATAAACCCCTTCTTGTTGTAACCGACTTGTAAGCATTTTTGAATACTCAAATCTCAGCTCCCTCCAAATGTCCTGGGTCTCATTCAACAAGTCGTACATCCTCGTCAAATCTTTAACTGTCCAATCGTAAGCGTTTTGAAGAGCGGTATCGTCCATCCTCTTAACTAAAAATCTCGGTCCGTTGCGTTCCCATAAGATCTCCGCAATGGTCGCCACCTTCATGTCCTTCATTAAAAATAGTTTAATGATATTCTTGAGAGTTCTGTTGTATAATTGTATACTGTTCAGCAAGAAATCGCCAGAACCAGGATTTGGAGTGGACAAGAGTCTTACGATAGTTCTATCCACAGAGTATAAATTCACCTCGTCCCCCGAACTTGCACTCGAATGTAAACTTAACACTAAGATTAACAAATGTCCAGTAAATAAATTCATTTAAGAACTAAATTTTTAGGTTATAAAATTGTTTCACAGCACAAAACTTTTCCTATCCGCTGTCCATTGAACTTGCTGAAATCTTTATCAGAATGATCAACATTTTATTAGTGTGTTACATATCTTAAGTCAAAGGTAATACAAAAACAACTACAGTACAAATTCACTAATCCATAGTTGTGGAATATTTTTTCTTTGTTTATATGCAAAGAAGTGTCCCATGAATGAAATTTATTCATTTACAGATACCAGCAATCAGCTAATAAAGTGATTATTAGTTTTGAAGTATGTGTTAAATACTAAGTTTTGGCACAACATACCTTACATGCTAGCACTTCTCGATAACTTGACTAACAAATTACAGAAGAAAATCAATTAGAAAATAATTAAACGTTATTAATGAGTTATGTACAACTAATCATTTAATCTAAGCTGCATGTTATAAAATGGCTCATATATAGTTATGCTATTGAAAGGTTGTGTGTTTAATACAATAAAAAAGTTATGGAAAAAAGTTCTAGTTCTGGTTCAAGTACGGATATATTAGAAAATATGAAATCAATTCACTGTAAAATAATCTCTTTTAAGAAATCCGTGTTGTTGGAGCATGCCAAGGTTGGGTCGAACAAAGAATTTAAAACCTACACAAAAAAGGAGATCCAGAATCTACATTCTCTTTTGGAAGATCTAGAAATGACAGGAAAAGATCTATCAAGTGATCTTAGTTTGAACAGTGAAGAATCAGAATTGTATAAAGAGTTGTTCAAAGGGTGTAATGAGGCTTTGGCAGAAATTATGAAAGTTTGCAATTAATATCGTTCAAAGAGAAGTGACTTTTTTGTGTAGCTAAATTCTTAAATGATGTGCAAAATGTTATCTATAAAATATATACAATCAAAAGATCTACCTTTTGCAAAATCATTTTTTTTTTAAATACTGTATATCGATCATAACCTTGTTCCAATAAAATCGTGGTTGATATAGGGATGACATTAGCTATATAAGAATTTTACTTCTCCGTGAGAATCATATACCTATGTTGAGAGATAATAGGGGAGATTAATCATGCTTTTGAGCTTCAATATTGCATACATATGCTAATACTTTAAAATATACATAAATAAATCATTCAGTTGGCATTTTGAGCTATAAACATGGTTTAAAGAACTAATTTGTAAAAACACTATTCCTTTGTTTATGCCTATGTGCAAAGGACAAAAAGATTTGTTTTTGAATTTATATTATTGAAGAAAGATACAATGAATAATTTGACAATTTATAAAATATTTCAAATTGATGACTACAGAACTATTATGATGAACTAATTACTTATCACATTTTTTTTTACATTTACATGTTTATCTAGACAATGGTACAGTATTTAGTTTTCAATACATTTAAATTTTAAACTGTCTAAATTTTATACCCATATACCTGTTGCACAAATCATAAAACTTTTTCACCTCTTCACCAAAAACTTTGTTTGCTATTTTCTTTTTGCGTAAAACTAGAATCAAACGAAGTCCAAACTGATACAGTTTTGTTTAAATATTCTCTAACAAGAAATGATTCATTGGCAGTCCAACGGTAAATATTTTGTAAATGATCATAGTTAGGCTCATTTTGAATAAACAACGGACCTTTTCTTTTACGTATATTCTCCAATACCCTGCTGACAAGGGCGCTAGTATTTAGTTTGTAAGTTTGTATAGTTTCCGTTAATATTTTTAAGTAAACTTTCAACTGTGTAATAAGTAACCTTCCTTCTCCAGGCGAAGGCTTGGAAAGTTTTCTATTAATATCTTCCTCCACTTTTTTCAAGTATGATCTTTGGTGTATGAAACCCAGAGTAAGTGAGAGTAAAAGAATCAATTTCAAGACAACTGAGTAGAATTTCATTATGAGGAAATAATCTCTAAAATCAATAGAGAATATTCCAAACAAAACGTTTAAGATACAGTAGTAAAGTTCAACTAACTGTTGAATGAAACGTACCGTTTAAAAGTTGTCTCCTAGTTCTTCTTCAATACCGGTAGCTTTGTAATTGACTATTATTTTAAGATTGCTCGTACATAAAATACCAAAAGCAAAATAAATTAAAAGTCAAAGTACCTGAAAGCGGTAAAATTGGCTGAAAACAAAATCATAAAGTTTGTACTCACAAATCGTTACCGGTACACGGCTAAAAGATGAGGACAAGTTGACAAGTTTCTTAGAATGAACCTGGATATTTCAAAGAATTGATACACTAGTGTAAAAGGCACGAAGGATGTGACAAACTACTAAAAATGTATAATACTAATAATGAAAGTCATATCTTTCACTAAACGAGGTACATAAGAAGTTCATAACTTGATTACAAATACACATTTTTATTACTCTGCACTTTGATGATTGAAAAACCAAATTATCTCATCAAATATTTCACTACACTTTGTATATAACTGTCTGAACTCTTTTATTTCTTGAGTGCTATAATTGAACCGATATTTGAGCCTGAACGAGGAATAGTTCATATCATCAAAATGTGGCCTTAAAGATAAAACAGCTCTTTTTAAACGTTCACTCACTTTAAACTGTTGTCCTTTCAAAACCCTGTACACATTTCGAATCACGTGGTAAAACTGCTTGAGTTCGTCTATGAGCGTTGCGTTTTGTGGCAGACGGAAGTTCTCCATCAAACTTTCGATGTTTTCTTTGTTCCTATCGAAATGTTTCTTGAGTCCGGTGATGTATAAGAATGCTCTAGTCTTTTTCACATCCAATTCACTTTCACTGAAACCGGCAATGACACAGTGTACCATCATAAGTAGAAACAGTGAATTCATTATCTGATAACTTTAACAGGATTTTCTCCACATTTCTTTTTTCTTCCTTTCTTATAATCATTATCACTCTTCTGCATCACCTGGTTTTAAGAACAACTAAAGTCTTTACATGTTATATGCATTTCATATACGTTGTTGGTAGTTTAGACATATTACACGAGTTCTGTTATCAGTAAAATGCTTCTCTCCATTTCCCATTGGTGATTACAGCCAAATAGTCATTGATGCCTCTGGTCATTAGGCAATCTGGGAAATAAAGCCACAAGTTGAACATTACTAGTTAAATAATTCGTTCACCTAATTTGTAACTGAATAGTATGTATTGTATGGCGAAACATTGTATGTACTTCATCAGCCCTCAGCCGCCATGATTAAATACCAAATTAAAACTTAATAGGTTATCAGTATCAAGCACACTATTATTTTTTAACATGATTTATGTATGTTTGTAACAAATAGTACGAGTGAGATAAAATTCACTCCTTCTGAGGAACGTTTAATAGTTATTTTTGTTTCAACAAGGTAAATAGTCGAGATTTAACAGACTTCAACTATAACCTCCCAAGATTTGGTTACATCAATGAAATAATTGTGACCAACTATATAAATTAAATAACAATTTTCTACATATATTTGTTGAGTTAGTGTGTTTTTACCTTCTGCCCTTAGATGGATAGTTGTTTTTTTTTTTTTTTTTTTTTTTTTAGTTTTAAATGGAAATGTTTGTTGTGGGTCCCTCTGAACCCCCAAAAAATGGTTGTAGAAAAATGTCTGTGTATATTGTAAATTTACAGAGCTACTGACTGAACCTATAATCCAATTTTAGGTTTATTTATTATTTTTATGAAATTTTGATTTGAAATAAATTTTAATTGTTCAATTTTACTTCAGAAAAATTTTCTATAGAATTTGCTGTTTTATTTTTATATCATAGACACAAAATGTATGTAGTGAGCTTAAAAATATAATATGCTATGTGACATTTGATTGAAAGCCTACAATGGTTACCTACAGATTTTATTTTTGTAGGTAATGTGTATGTTGGTAAGGGGTCATTTTTAGTCTTAACTTAAGTTCTGCTATTTTTCTTGTGACGATTTGTTACTGACCAGCTGGTCTATAAGCAGCTGCTAAAAAGCACGATGATCAAGAACACCTGAGTCCATTTTCATACCATGAAATACCACTCCGCTATGAAAATCAATTCCAGCCATTAGGTAAAATCTAACAACTCAATGACATAGCTTTTAAAAGTTTACTGAGCAACTAAAAACTAGTAGAGTTTATGTTAAACGGTGGCAATGGTTCGATGTTGTAATGTAGATCATTGACCAGGTAGTATCGGAAGTCTCGCCAATGCTCCTTAGCTTGGTTGAGAAAGTAGTACAGTTCACCAAGCTCCTTGTATCCCCACTCGTAGACTATCTGCAGCAGCGTGTCGTTCGGATAAACTTGGATACACCTCGGCCCGTTGGTCCTTATCAGCATATCCACGACATCTTGATTGGTCCTGTTGTACTTGTATACCTACACAGAAAATGTCACCAATACCAAATATTGTGCTAGGATTTCTATTTTGCAACAGTTAAGGTTATAAGTTCGTTTTTGATGTTGGGCTTTCTAACCAAATTAAACATGTTTACTATAATACTGAATTTGAGATTAAAGCATGAGATATTGAGTGTTGAATGCATGAAGTAAGTTTTGTTACTGACTAGATCAGCTGGTTCCTTAGCCCAACGGTCAAGGATAGCTGGGTCCAGTGTAGAATCATTACAAGATTTTCCAACTGGCAACCTGCTGATTACTAGGTACTTCATGGTGTTAACTGTAACAATTATAATTTGATTCGGTTGTCAGTAAATTGTGTGATCAATAATTAGTACTGAGGGACCAAGCTTAGCTGAATGTGGTTAATTGGGTTTAATCGTTAAAAAAATATCATAAACAGACACATTTTATAATTTACAAAAAATATTTATTACAAACCATAGACATTTGATCGCTGAAATAATAACTCTGTAATAAAAAGTATGCAACTAAACAAAAGTAAAATAAACATTAAATGATCTTACTTATAAGTGCTAATCGTACAGATTTTTTCTTCCTATAGTCTGAAACCTGTTGCACGTTCACCAATGACAGCAGATAACAATATGATATAAACAAAATCTCATAAAACCGTTCATATACTAGTTTGCTGATTCACCCTAGCACAACCTTAACTCTTGCAATTAGAAATTGGAGCACTACGAAATTGTGCAGTGTAATTGATCTCTTGGGAAATGCTACACATCACCCACAACCCTTCTGTGGCATTTCACGAAATAGCGCATGTTCTTTGATTGCGTCATGGGCCAAAGAGCAACGCAAACACTGGGTTGATACTCCCCTTCCTAGGGTCAGCAAGCTTACTCTGTTTTAGGCCTTCTAAAAAGGTTGCCTCTGACCTCTTGAGACTAGACAGGCAAAGAATCAAATTAATTGTAGAACTGATAGATCACGGGTGATTCAGGAAACATTTACAACGGATGGGCTTATTTGATGGTGAACCGATCTGTAGGCACTGTGATAGTTCAGAGGAGACAGCCGACCACCCGCTCTTTGATTGTGACGAGCTCTCTGATGCTAGAATGATAACTCTTGGTAATGTGGCTAGAGGAAGATGTCTTCCCGAGGATTAACTAATTGGAAAGCTACAGGCATTCATCCTGAACTTGTAAGGTCATCAAGAAAACAATTGTCTGGGGTGCGCAATAATTCGATTTTCGGATGAAGTGCTTCATGGTCTCGGCCTGCCCGTGTTAGATAAGATAAATAAGATGCTACACATCATTGATTGGCGAATCAGGGCCCGCTTTAGTAAACGGGGGTGGAAGAAAAAGTTTCCCAGCAATGAATGGGGAAGGGGGGGGGGGGCAAATGTCTATCAAGCCCATTGCATGCAAACCACGGGCCTGTGGTGAAGTGTATGCTGTTTGTGCGCGTGCTCAAGTTATAAGGGAGTAAATTTATGAGTTCTATATCCGTAAATCCCATAGTTTTATCCATGTTCTCATAAACTAAATATAATCTCATACATTGATCTGCTACATATATGTGCGTTACGCTACAGGAAATGTCTGTTGTGTGCTGCACAAAGCATGGTTTATCTTTCATAACTGTTTCAGGACTAAGGTTAAAATAAGATAGAGGACGAGAATTCAATGAGAGCACCATATTGATGAGCATACAATGCTATTTACTTTTTGTGAATAACACCATTAAATATAAGAATTATTATATCGAGGGGACCCGTGCACAAATTGTGCATTTCAATACGGTTCAAAAGTTGGAAAGCAAAAAATACAAAACCCTTTTATCACGTTCGTTTCAGACGGTTAAAAAGTGAATAAAACTACTAATTTACAATCAATTAAATTTGTTGATTTACACCATAAAGAGTTATTTACCTACCTCAATCAGGTTACAATCATAGTAAAAGAGTAACCTGTTTAAAATTCATTTTCATGAACTGTTTTGTCTCTTCTTCACAATATGACCGTGGTTAATCATTACACTGAAGGAACAGCTGTTAAATTACATTGCATCACTAAGTCTTTGAAAGCGGACGATAGAAATAAGCACTAGGGGTATAAAGACCTAAATAAAATGACCTTTTTGGTTACCATTCTTCCCTCCGATAGATCATAAGCTTTACAAGGACACCTTAATCGTACAAATAGGAAAAGAGGATATTACAGAGAAATTCCTTATTGCATTAAAGTATAGATGGATAAGATACTGTACATCATTTCAATTTTCATCCTATTGTCAAATCTAAAGCCTGTTATAATGTGTGTTACAGTTGAGTTCAGTGATGTCAACAAAATTTCAACATTGAATGATAACAAGGCCAGGATTTTGACCAGGGTTAAAAAGCGTAAAAATCGACAACAGCATAGAAATGTAAATAAAGACCAAACTGTAAGACATTAATAAATGTTTTTCTGTTCCTAAGGTAAGTTTACAGTTCATTCAAAAGGCAAAGGCCAATCAATGGTAGATTGTTTTATTTAGTTAAACTAGTTTTGAAGTTGGTGCCTTGGCAAGAAATAATAAGTAAACCTAAAAACACTCTACATGTAAGAGACAGAAAAATGCATCTTTTGCAACTAATCTAAATGAATAGTAATTTTAGGAGCAACAAGTTTTAATACTCACGTTTTTGAAAGAAGTTATTTATAATTACCTGAATCGTTTGGTTGAAATCATTGTTGAAGACGATGAGACTGTCAATCAAGCGATCTCCTTCACCAACAATCGGGTTTGTAATCTTCTCATACAACAGATTGTCGATTCTTGTAATGTAATCTTTGTTTTCAAGAGAAACCCCTATCAAAATGGCACCAACAAAGAACACTAGATATAATAACTCCATGAGAAAGATTGTGTAAGATTACAAATGTGGAGAGAAGTAGATGTGAACGTTGATTAAGTACATTATATTTATTTCTAAAGCTTAAATAGAATGTTACTTCAGGTCTGGGTTTGTACTCATACAAAACTATTATAAAAGTCTAATTTTAATATTAGTGTTGTAGTTTTGTTTTAATGTAACCATAATTTAATGATACTTTAATTTTGTGTTTAGGTAGATCCAATGAAGAACCTTCTCTATTTGGATTTTGCTGAGTGATCTAGTGAAAGTCAAAATATGACGTTTGTGTTGATTTTAAAAACTAAACTTACTGTTTTTAACAACTTTAAATAATTGTTGAATTAAAGTCGGTTAAGAGTGATTTTAAAAATAATGTCAGTAGTCATTGTTATCAGATGACTAAAATAATTTTCACTTTTGACCAAAAACCCTGGATTTTGTACCATTTACTCTTGCTTTTATTACTGTGTGATCTCAACACTGAAACCAGAATAGTCCGAAGGCGTCCAAGGAAAAAAAAGTGGGTGGATAGACCTTTGACTCAAGAAAAATATGATGAGATTGTTTTTAAGCTGATGACTGAAAAGAGTTACGAAGACTTTGCCAAGGATTGGATTGCTCGTCTACTGAAGCTGGAAAACAACGTGACTTCGTTAATATTCAACCCGGTGAAAAACGGAGGAGAAAAATTGTGCAGCGAATTGCACCGGTATAACCAGGAACTGGAGTTGGTGCTCGTTCCGTTAAAACAACAGAAGGAGGAAATAGCTTACATGGCTCGTAAGGTTTACTTCCGGCAAGGACCGAAGTTCTTACGCGAGTTTTTGCCCAACAATACAGTTTTGCAACAGACATTCAACTGGGACCATTATCAACTGAGCAGATTTTACAGGTTGTGGCTTGAGACAAGGATGATTTGGGAGGACTTTAAAGAAGCTTATTTGGACATGAAAATAAAATTTTATTATTTGCAAGTACTGTAGAATAAACCTACAAACAAATTAAGAGAAAGACGTTTTAAGTGAACTATCACTGGTATACTAATGCCAGTCTGCCTTACCTTTAGAAAAACATTTTTGTCGTAGACAGCTCCTGTTACATAAGTTTTCAACTGTGCTTAAGTTCTAGATCAAAATGTATTGCTTTTTTAAAAAAATGCCTATGGATTATTTGTGTGGCAGGAAACTTCATTTTGTATTTTAAACTTCAATTTGAATTTTGATCATACATCTTATGTAGGATTATCCTTATATCCAACTACTAGGGAAATAAACTTCATTATTCACTTTTGTATGGTAGGTATGTCAAACTATCAAAACTAAAAAAAGTTTTAAATCCTTTTTCCAATTTACCAAAAACAATTCATTCCAATGAATTAAAAACTAGTGTACCTGTTGCTCGAATTCGAGCAATTGCTAAATATTACAGGCGTTATTTTAAAACCTCATAATTTCTGATGACTTTAAAAGATTCGACTAAAAGGTTATGGAAATACTCAACATGTACATAACAGATCAATATAATCAACATTTCTTGTAAATATCTTATAATTTTTCAAAAGCTAATCTTGTTTTTTAGTGTTTTCTACAAATTTTTCCGACATTATTTCTATTTCTTCCCCTTAGTAATGTTCTATGACCTTCCTATGTTGCCATAGTTATTGATAGTTTGCAAATCAGCTTTTTCAATGATTACTGAGAAATGCAGCACAGTGTTAATTCAGTTTCCTTTCCATTTTAATATTTACGCCAACCCAAATTCAAATAGTAAATATTTCATTTCAACCCAATGCCCAGTCAGTATGTTTTTGTAGCAAACTCATTGACTGTTTACAATTAACATATGTTCTTTTTCTCACTTTTTTCATAACAATGTTTCCCATGTTGATCTTATGGAGAAAAATGAAACTTTAAAAGAGCCCCTGGACCTCACTCTCTAATTATTTCCGTAAAAAGAAAGTTTCCTGCACAACTTCACGTTACGGTACCCTCTTTCCAATAACACCAAAAATATGTCAATCAGTTTCGGAGGAATAATTGTCACAAAAAACCTGCTTGCATATTAAATAAGTAATAATATATTGTAAGACCCCCTGGTTTTAATTTTTACTACTTTTACACTTTTTACCACTAAAAGCCCAAGTGGTTTCTAGAATAAACAAGAAAACCCTACCCAACATTTAACTACTAGACTGAGGTATTCAATAAGAAAAAAACAAGTCTACACAACTATTTAATCACAGAACAAATCTGATACACTAAACCTAGCCTACTCTTTGGTTGGTTTATCGTCCAATTTAAAGTCTATCGGTTTGTCAAAGCCCATTAGCCTCTTGTAATGGTCCAAGTATTCAAAGTGGCTAGCATCAATGAACAACGGAGCTCCTTTAACGATCCACGTTGTGAACATCCCGGGAATATCCGGACAGACTACATCTTCGGCTTTGAAGTTAAGCTGAAAAACATTGATTTACATGAGTGAAGTGTCACAAATCAATAGTAATCAAGTGGTGTGGAGAAATTACATGAGCTGTTGCAATCAAAGGCTTCTGTTGATTTATATTCATCAAATTTCTAACTAAATTTGAAACAATATTAATTAAATGTGTGTTAGCTGCTGAATCGGTGCTATTACAGGGATATATTGAGAGAAATCTACAAACACCACTCGACAAACTACACTTGTACTGTTAATGTAACAAGACGGTAAATAAAGTCATCCAATCATCCTCAAGCCCAATAGAGAGAATCAAAATTTAGATTCTGAGTTACACTTGGAACTGAGGGGATAGGCACCATTTTGTTTGCTATTGTAACATCTTTTTCCCACACAACTCTGTTTTCATGGACTTTCCAAGAAAGGTTTTAGTTGAGAAAACAGATATTTGCCGCCTGCTTAATAAAATGGGATTCCAATGAGTTAGGCCATATTAAAAGTTCAAATTAAACTCACCAACTTATCTCCTGCAAAAAAACTATACGTTAATGCCACATACTCGTCAGCTTCTTCGTTGTAGTATATTTTTCTGACATATCTCTTGGTAATATAATGAAACAAAAATGGAGTAACAAAGGTAAAAAACTGTATTATTGCTCCAGAAAAAATAAGCACCGCAAGGCTATGGCCTTCTTCAACCACTTTTTCTAACAATATGGGTTGACAGGCCAATCCAAACAAACTTGATGTTAAAGAAAAAAGCTTCACAGTTCTAATACGTTGAGAAAGTGGGCCGTTGTAGATCTCAATTTCATTGCTTTTCCTCTCATCTGAACTCACACACCTTATGCAGTTCTGCAGTGCTTGCCTTCCCTGAAAAATAAGTAGCCTAATTTATTCGTACATAAAAAACATAAGGAAATAAATAGTAGCCTATTGATTTAGGCTAATTGATATAACAACTCATAAACTATTCCATTAAGCCGGGTTTTCCTGGACGTGGAAGCAGAGCACAGAAAATCAATTAACTTGGTGTTCCGCTACGCTTCTGGGAAAAACAGCAACATTTAATTCCCCAAGATAAGAGGAGTCCGCTCTCCCGTTCCGCACACTGCTTCACGGTCTAGGAAAACCCAGCTTTAAGTAGGGGTTAAATTGATACTTTTTTAAGCATACAAATACTATACTTCGATTGTAAAACTGTTAAAACTTTTGATATCCATCCATCTCATCATATTTTTGATTGTTATAACTTAGGCCTACAGCTTAAAGTTTCCAGAGTTTTGGTTGTAAATCAAATCGATACTTTTGTTGTTTGATAATCCACACGAGTTGAATATCCCAATGCTTTGCTGTAAAATTGGGTTAAACATGTCACATCACTTATAATCCGTCTCATCATATTATCATAAACATCATCATATTAGTATAACCACCTGTGGATTTGAAATTTATTGTAATTAATTTTAAGTCAGCCATCATTGACTAGGGTGTGCCCTGATGCCTAGCCAACCACACATTCCTTTTGTTTGGAAAGAACAGGAGATTCTAGAAATTATTTACAATGTTTTTTTCAGTAAAGTGAAAAGAATATTTTTTTTAAAAGAAGTGGATATGTGAATTGAAATACGGTACCACGAACGTTCATGATGAGTAACGCACTGGGCGGCGTCATTACTGTCCCCGTACCCATGATGACAACCAGTGCGTTGCTCATCATGAACGTTGGTGGGGCCGTCTTAAAATGTCCTTACCTACTTGCGTACCATTCCGTCACTCATAATGTTCTCGCCATACACTTCACTAATCTGTCGATGATTTTTAATGGCTTTCACACCTTAAGCTCTTAAAAATCTAATTACAGCGCTCACTTCACAGTCGGCGGCAGTCTCAATTGGCGGCACCATTTTGAATGCTCGAAACCGGATGTAAACACGGCCGATTTTTCTCGAATTTCCGGCTATGTCTTACCAATAGATGCACATACACAGCGCAAATGTCGAAAATGCCAATCGCAGTGCTGGAACGAAGAAATTTAAAAACGGTCCTTACTTAAAAAACGTGCCTAGTAAAACGAATAACAGTCATAATTTCCGATAGCCGCTTTAGGTTGTCCATAATAACGATTATAAATAAAAAAAAGATCATTTATATTTGTTCTACTTGGTGGTATTCTAATGTCTTTCCTATGTTTCCATGTCGTCCTGTAATCCAGCTACTATGAGGTCACGAATTGTGGATATTTAAAGGCATGCACTGTGGATGCGATGCTCCCTGGTGTGGATTGAGTACTACGACTATCCGCAGTACTATCCTGATAATTAGACCAATTCGTAAATTACAAGGAAAATGTGGTTCGGATTCCACTATCAACTGTAGGTCCCTTAGTTGCCATTAGCTATATGGGCTATTAATTAAGAGCTGTGTCTAAGGAACATGTCGGCCTTAGTCACTAACAAGACTACAAGATCGCGCCACTCATCCTACATTCATCCTTCACTCATATTTGCATATTTGCTCATATAAATGCAGCACAGTGTTAATTCAGTTTTATTTTTAGTAGCCTACCTATATCAAATTATCCAGGCTCTCTTGCATTTTCCATTTGTAATATTTACGCCAACCCAAATTCAAATAGTAAATATTTTATTTCAACCAAGTCAGTAAATGTTTGTAGCAAACTGTTAAATTAGCAAACTTATTGACTGTTTATGTTCTTCTTCTCACTTTTAATTTCTGACAACAGCTGGAATTTCATAACAATGTTTGTTTCCCATGTTAATCTTGCGGAGAAATATGAAACTTTAAAGGTCGCAGGGCCTCACTCTCTAATTATGTCCCTAATAAGAAGGTTTCTGGACAACTTCACGTTACCTCTTTCCAATGACACTAAAAACATTTCAATGGGTTCAGTAGTTTCGGAGGAGTAAATTTACTTGTTTATTTATTTATTCATTCCAACGGATACACCATTTACAAAATAATATATATTTAAGCACATGAGTAGAATGGAAAGCAGTGTTGCCAGATTCGCCGGCGAAAATTATCGTACAAGCAGGCCAAAATTATCGTTTTTGGGGCAAAATTATCGTACACACAATTTTATTTTATAATAATATTATTATAATGTAAAACAAGCAAGTCGATGATGGAATGGCCGAAATTTTACTCTATTTGTCTCTGCCACCCACCGTTTTTGCTCTACTAGCCTACCACTGAGCTAGAAAAATGAAAAATATAAATTCTACCGGAGGCAGCACACTATCACACACACACGCGGAATCTGCATCTCTGCTAGAAAAAAATTGAAACACTGTAAAATGATGGTATTTTCGGTCTCAACTGGAAAAATCAACCAGCTCATTGCTTTATTTCATTCCCCTACTGCCAATGTAATGAGTACAATAATTAATTGAAGGTACAACGTAATCTACCTCTAGTACAAATGGCGGCCAACTTCTCTCAAAATTCTCCTATAAACACTTAAGTTGGTAGCCAATGGGCCCTCTCTAACACAGCTGATCACTGAGCTATAATTCTAACTGGAGGTAGCACTGAATGTCAAAGATGCGTGTCGCCAGCCGCCATGTTTGCGTGAGGTGTGAGTTATAAAGAAGCCATGTTATTGGATGAAAAAACTCACTGCTATACAGACCTAGTTATAGAAGCCATGCCATTGGTTAAAAAAACTCACTGCTATACCAACCTAACAAAATCAGCGACACGCTCTTGACAGACTTCTGCCATGGCAGTGCTACCTCCAGTTATAATTTTAGCTCAGTGCAGCTGAGCTGATGCCTTTGCAAGGTTGCCAGATCGAACAGCAACGAAGTGATGTTACCGTTTTTCCATATATTAAAAGTGGGAAACGTGTTTAAATGTATAATAATCAATATGAAATAGTTTATTTTCCAGCCCCCAAAATATAATCGTACATTATGACAAAAAATCGTACACAACGTCAAAATTATCGTACAATTTTTCAAAATTATTTTTTATGGGGAAGGAGCAAAATAATCGTACAAATACGATAATTATCGTACACCTGGCAACACTGATGGAAAGAGAAAAATTGCATTTGAAATAACAAGAGAAGCTGCATACCATTAAACAAAACATCATTGCAACAAAAAAAAAGTAAATTCACAAAAAACCTGCTTGCGTATTAAATAAGTATATAGATTATAACTATACACACACACACACATTTCTCTAACACTACGAAATAACAACGAATTATGTAATAAATTGCGATAACACGAGAGCGAAAACTCACTGGCTTCAACACGCAATGGCAAATACAAGGCACTTTGTGTATGAGACCTTGACAGTAGTGACGCACTAGTCGTCTTCCTGAGAGCAAACGGAAATAACCATGAGCAAAGAGATACCACTCTCAAAACCTTTATTTCTTCCTCTTTAAAATGACATACCGTATTATATGACTTAGTAATAATAACTAACCCTGTAGGCCTATATAATTCGTATTTTCCATACTATCGTATTGCGATGATTGGCCATTTGTTATAAATTCTGAAAATAACTGTTTTCATAAAATCGTAACTGTTGACCAATCAACATTTTGTTCTAAAAATCAATACCACAATGAGTGGTAAGTTACCACCCGCAACATCCCAAAAATTACCCGAGCAGGGTAATGCCAAACAAGTCAAGTTTTGTTTTGACAGTTTCCAAGTGTCAGCTGCAAAAGTAGTACTGCGCCATAAATTCATTTGATTTCTAATCGTCGTGGCATTGTTACCTGGCTACATTGTTTATGTACTAATAAAATTAAAGTTCGGAATGTGATGTTTCGAATGGTTGGGGTGGTAGGGTTCACATCTGAGTTGAATAAGCTTATGTGTTTTTTTACCGTTAAGAAAATTTTGGCCCTTACTATCGCATTATGATGGTGGCCAATCTCAGAGGCGTGACGGCGAACGATCGTATTACGATTGTTGGCAACTGCTAAGGTTAAAAAACAAAAGTTAGTAAGTTGCTTTCGTAGGAGTTATCATGCGCCTAAGTTAAGTTAATGCTTACAGATAAAATTCCAAAAAATTGTAATTTTCAAATTCCTATGTTATTCTTATGGAGAATAAATAAACTAGGCATAAGTTATTGTAGTTTGACTGTTTATGGACATATTTTGATAAATTTTGGAAAATGCATTTATTATAAGTTAGGCTAATAGGCCTACTACTTATGGTGGCCTAAGCCTATTCGCCGGTGGCCTAAGTTAAGCCTATTTGCTGGTGGTCTAGCCTATCTATAACAAGAATAACCGGAAATTTTCTTTAAATCTCTAGTAGGTATTACTACTCAACTTACATTAAAACTTGATGTCAACCGAGGGAGTAATCTGCTTCTATCATGTAGGCCTAAAGAAAGTTGGGCAGGTGATCTTGAAACCAATAAGTGTTTGGATAAGATGCAAAAGCTGGCTGGAATCCTAGTTGCCATACTTTTCTGACAGTGTTAACTAAAAATATAAGTTGACCTGTTTTCTATTAACAATTAACAAAAAGACATAGATAACGGTTGTTTACTGTTTCTTGAAATACACTTTCTGCGCCCAGCCCCAGCCGGCCCTAATCCAAAACTAACCTCCTTTAGTCCTTTCCTTTACTCAGTGTTGCCAGATTCGCCGGCGAAAATTATCGTACAAGCAGGCCAAAATTATCGTTTTTGGGGCAAAATTATCGTACACACAATTTTATTTTATAATAATATTATTATAATGTAAAACAAGCAAGTCGATGATGGAATGGCCGAAATTTTACTCTATTTGTCTCTGCCACCCACCGTTTTTGCTCTACTAGCCTACCACTGAGCTAGAAAAATGAAAAATATAAATTCTACCGGAGGCAGCACACTATCACACACACACGCGGAATCTGCATCTCTGCTAGAAAAAAATTGAAACACTGTAAAATGATGGTATTTTCGGTCTCAACTGGAAAAATCAACCAGCTCATTGCTTTATTTCATTCCCCTACTGCCAATGTAATGAGTACAATAATTAATTGAAGGTACAACGTAATCTACCTCTAGTACAAATGGCGGCCAACTTCTCTCAAAATTCTCCTATAAACACTTAAGTTGGTAGCCAATGGGCCCTCTCTAACACAGCTGATCACTGAGCTATAATTCTAACTGGAGGTAGCACTGAATGTCAAAGATGCGTGTCGCCAGCCGCCATGTTTGCGTGAGGTGTGAGTTATAAAGAAGCCATGTTATTGGATGAAAAAACTCACTGCTATACAGACCTAGTTATAGAAGCCATGCCATTGGTTAAAAAAACTCACTGCTATACCAACCTAACAAAATCAGCGACACGCTCTTGACAGACTTCTGCCATGGCAGTGCTACCTCCAGTTATAATTTTAGCTCAGTGCAGCTGAGCTGATGCCTTTGCAAGGTTGCCAGATCGAACAGCAACGAAGTGATGTTACCGTTTTTCCATATATTAAAAGTGGGAAACGTGTTTAAATGTATAATAATCAATATGAAATAGTTTATTTTCCAGCCCCCAAAATATAATCGTACATTATGACAAAAAATCGTACACAACGTCAAAATTATTTTTTATGGGGAAGGAGCAAAATAATCGTACAAATACGATAATTATCGTACACCTGGCAACACTGCCTTTACTTAACGACTCGCAGTGTTGCCAATCCACTATGGCCCGATTACCCCCTCCAAAGCAAAGAATTACCCGCTTTTTCTAAAAATTACCCTCAACAAACCAAAAATTCCCTTTTAACACTCTTGCCTGTCTCTAAAAGTAACGAATAAAAACCCTGATAAATTAGTTTTGTGTAATCCCACAAATTAAGATGTAGTAAAGAACTAAATATAGGACTTGAGACTTGTAATTAACCTTCATAATGAAATTTTCAATCTTACTGACCTTACAAAAATAATTTCATTAGTCCTACAATGATTTGGTTTTTTTTATGATAGCCTATGTCATATACTTGTTTAATAATGAGTAAGTACTCTCTCTACGTACTCTACTTTTTATTATCGTTTAAGAAAACCAGCATTTTAATAAAAAAGCAAGCATTAATTTTAAATTATTAAGCCACAGAGAAGTAAGAAACTTAGGATACATTCAAGTGGTGTCTAACACCAAACGAAAATTACAGAATTTCCTTTAGAATTTTCTAGAATATTCTTTGACGTTAGCGTCCATGTTGCACAAAATTTGGTGCGAATGTTTTGCCGCGAATACGCAATATTGGGTTCAGCACAGTTCGGCCGAAGTTAGCCGATAGTGTACTTGGTTAGTTCGGGATGGTTCGGGCTGCACATTCGTCAACATTCCTGGTCGCAATCTGACCCGAACATTCGGCGAAACATTCGGGCGAATGTTCGGCGATAGTGTACTGGTAGCATCAGCTTTACAAATAATGAAATAATGTTGAAAGTCCTAAAAAAAACTATGAAACTAGACAAACCGTAAACACTGTCGTGGTCGTGAGAAGGTTAGCCGCTCTTTTCAGTTTTCATCGGCGCTTTTCCGAATTAATTGTAGTAATCAGTGTTTACTTTGCTAGCGTCTCATTTTCCTCTCCCAGAAACTGATGAGAACTGACCACGATTGCTAGAATTTTTTTTAGTATTTTTTTAGTAATCGTGGAACTGACCAACTGAGAACGTGAACCTTTTCTGCGAAGGAGCGGGGGATTATGGGAGAGCCGGAGAGCCACTCACTTCGATTTAAGAAAATTTAATTTATAATATTTTAGTTACAAAATTAACTTAGCTTTTTATAATTGTAACACTGTGATAACCTAACCTAACCAACCAAACTTGCTGATTATATTAAATACCCCCGCCACAGCAAACCTGCAGACTAAGCGAATTACAATACAATACAATACAATATTCTTTATTGTTAATTCGTCAAGAATTACAATAGTGTCAATACAATAGTGAATTGTACATGTTAATTTTCATAAAATTCCTTTATTGAGTAGAAGGGTCTTGCGATTAGCCACTTCTTCAACTCCTGGTGTAGCTTGTTGCCAGTCAGGTCTCTCAGGTAGTCAGGTAGATGGTTCCTCAGCTTGCAGCCGGTGTAGGAAGGTTTTTTCTCCCAAAGAGTTGTTCGGTGAACTGGTAGTGCAAATTTGGAGCCATGACGGGTGTTGTAGTGGTGCAGGTCTTGGTTTCTTGGGGGGTTTATTTCATTCACATACTTTATGGTTTCAAGTATGTAGAGAGACACCACTGTGAGGATTCCTAGTTTTGCGAATGCTAGTCTGCAAGTCTGTGGTGGGACAAGGTTTTTTGGCGAGGGCTCTTATGGCTTTCTTTTGAAGGACAAGAATTCGATTCATATTTTTTGTTGAAGTTCCTCCCCACACTGTCAAGCCATATCTAAGATGCAACTCTACCAGTGCGAAGTAATTACAACTTGTCTGATTACATTTTTAAGTACATCATATCTGAATCGTTCAGATATACTTATTATACTACACTACGTGCATTCACTGTAATATTCTGTAAATTCTCCGACTCCGCTATACACGATCAGTACACGATACATAGATTCGTTCACTTCGTTCACTAATCTATTATACTACAAATATACGTATTATACGTGTGTTATTATACGTACTTATTTATTTGCATTCACTGTATGCATTGTACTGTAATATTCTGAACTGAACCTGACATAGGCCTAAAATATTTGCCTTGTGAAAATGTTTATTGTTAACCCTATTACAGTAAAGATTCTGATAACCAGCATGATGACTATAAGAACTTAAATTACGAAGGAATCTTATAATAATTCGAGTTACTTACGCAATTGTGTGGTAGATTAGCACATAACTTCTCTAATCCAATAATAGGCCCAAGTCCCTGACCCTACATTCATACAAGTTGAGCTGTCTTAAGGAATACACTTTTCTCAACAAGTCAACAAGCCCGTTTCTTAGGGCCCAGATATTGCAAGGAAAGAAATATTTGAATTTTTAAACAACTGAGAAGAGGGCCTATTTTATGAGTTGAGCACTGACTATTAGAACAAGTTTATCCACATAAGTTAAACTTAAATAACATCCAGGCCTATGCAATGCCAGGCCCAAATTTTATCCTTATATATAATTACGGGTGGCGTCACCCTGTAATCCAGCTGATTGGAGGTCACGAATTGTTGATATTTATAGGCATGCACTGTGGATGCGATATTCCTGGTGTGGAATAACGTCCACACGAGTGAGTACGATTATCCGCAGTACTATCCTACGATAATTATACCAATTCGCCAAGGCAAAAATGTAGTTCGGATTCCACTATATACTGTAGGCCCCTTAGTTGCCATTAGCTGTATGGGCTATTTATTATAATAGCAGTGTCTAAGGAATGTCGGCCTTGGTCACTACCAATACTACAAGATCGCGCCACTCATACTACACTCATCTTCATTCATACTTGGCTTAAAATATAGCTACTTTGTATGGTCGCAATTTAATAAGAAAGTATTAATTTGAATTGAATCGTTGGACAAATTTACAAACTTTGCTCAGGATTGAATAGGTGACCTCAAAATTAACTTGCGAGAAAATGTTCCTTTACTACTCAGCCTATTGTATTATAAAGTACCACGGAACTGATCAAAAGGAACAAAGTTGGAATAAATTAAATAATAAAATGAAATATTATCCTCTTCGTAGGGTAGGCTAGTTTGTTGCCTCAGTTTGTCTCCTTTATTTATTCTCAACGGCAAACACCATTTTACAAACAATACATTAATACACTTCAATACATTAGCAAGCAAGCAATGACAAAATTAATTTGATAGGTTAATGTGATGCGACCACGAATGTTGACGAATGTGCAGCCCGAACCATCCCGAACTAACCAAGTACACTATCGGCTAACTTCGGCCGAACTGTGCTGAACCCAATATTGCGTATTCGCGGCAAAACATTCGCACCAAATTTTGTGCAACATGGACGCTAACGTCAAAGAATATTCTAGAAAATTCTAAAGGAAATTCTGTAATTTTCGTTTGGTGTTAGACACCACTTGAATGTATCCTAAGTTTCTTACTTCTCTGTGGCTTAATAATTTAAAATTAATGCTTGCTTTTTTATTAAAATGCTGGTTTTCTTAAACGATAATGTTTACATATATATATTCAATTTAATTATCCCACGGCCACAGAACAGGCTCACTATGGTATAGTTCCAAAAATAACAGCGTTTCCTCATTAGAATACGCCATACTTTGTACAATTAATTTATCTATATAAGATCTAGTGGAAAATAATTAAATAACAAAAACTAAAAGTAACTCTAACTACACACCCACTGCAGTAAATACTGTATAAAGAGAGCGTCCGTGACTACGAATGACAGCGAGTGTGTACTGGCTATGTTCGTTCGTGCCCGTCTGCGCTCGGCACTCGTCCTAGTTCGTCTCCTTTGATTCGCGACTTGAGACCGCCAAAAATGCGAGCGCACCCGAACACGAATGTTGGCGATGCGAACTACCCCAAATGTACACGAGCACACAGTGTACACCAAGATGCATGGAGTAAAAGAGTACTTTACTCCAGGTCCGTGAAGTTGGCCCCCCCCATAAAAGCACTA